GACGCAAATGCATACGTCACACAGTAGGGGATTAGGGAATATCATGACATAACATTTCCCACAATAGTGTATCAATGTATTTTGTCGTCGATCACAAATACCACAAGTTAGTTTCGATTTGCAGTTCCTCGCTAAATGATACCTTTTAAGACACACGAAACAATTTCCACTTCGCTTTAACGCTTCCTTTTTTTCTTGCACAGTCTTTTGACATGATTCTGACGTATGATTTTCAGAACAGAATAAACAGCTATCAGAAAGTAATGTGTTTAATGCTGCTGTTGAAGGAATTCTACCCTTATTATAATCCTGATTTCTTTCGTTGTTTTGAAAACGATCTCGAAACTGCCGCTTATTTTCAAAATGGGATTTCCTTTCAGTTACTTCAGAATCTGTTGGCTTAATTAAAAATCCTGTACGTTCTCAACTTTCTATTTCCTTTCTTAAAAAATTTAGCAAATTCGTAATTTTTGTCTGGTTTTCATCTTCATATTTCCTATTAAATTCTAGTGCTAAATCATTCAGAATCACCTTTATTAATATCAGATACAATAAGGTACTGTACGAATCTGGTAATATATTACACGATTCTGATCCTCTAATTTGTACTTCACAACGATCGTATAATTTTCGAAGTGCTGTCACATCGCAAGACCTTTTAACCGGAGTCAGAGTTAATAAATTGTTTATGTAGGTATCTATGATTAGTTCTTTGCGTCCGAAGCGATCTTTTAATATTTTCACAGCCTTCTTGTAATTCTCTGCTGTTAACGTCAACCCTTGTGTTGCAGTTTCTGCATCGGAAGGAGGAATTGACTTTAAATAGTTAAATTTATCTACTGCATGTAGACTTTCGTTTTTGTGTACAGCTGTCTCAAATCATGCCCAAAACCCGGGCCAACTGCACACATCCTTTCTCGGAAACGTTTCCAGGGAAAATTTGGGGAGTTTAATTTTGTTTTGCGATTCAGTGACAGTTCCACGTGAAGTAGAATTAGCGCTATGTAGATTAGTATCTAAATATCTTTTCGTGCGTGATTTCCAAACAATAATTTTACTTTTATACTCTTCTCTAGACATTACTTCATCTTCTAAATTTGTTACATCAATTAAAGTTTCAATACCATTATCTGCTAAGATTAGTTCTTTACTAATTAACTGAGCAACCGTTTCTCCAACTACGTTTTTAGCCCCCTCACTAGCAATTTCTTTTTCTATCTTATTTATCAGCCTCGTAACTACTGCTCTTATTGCAGATCATTTCTTTTTTAATTTTTCTAAATCCATGTTTTTGCTTTTAAGCAAAATCTATTAAATTTCAGTTCAAATTCAACCCAATGGTCCCACATTATGGCGCCACAATATTATTATTTATTTCCTTATCGTTATTGTTACTTACACTTTTAACTAATTAATCAAGGTAAAACAAAACTGCTTACCTTGATCCAGTGGGTTCTGCCAGGGCCACTAGTTGAATTGATCTCCTCTGTGCATCTCTATCTGGAATCCTTTGAAGGGAATAATCCATAATGATCAATACATTCTTTACACAAACATATTTTAATCAAGACTCAAATGGGTTACAGAATATTTACGTAATGAAAACGATTTTAGTTTGGCATGACGCAGCGTGCAACTTCTCCTTTACGAGTTCTCGTGCGATCTCTAAGCGAGAGTTCATAGTTCGAGATGACGTCACTCAGCCATCGGATCTCAACAAGAGTTGAGTTGCAACATATTATAAAGTTTCATTTTGGCAACTTATTATACAATATTTTGAATCTGAAAATAAACAAGGTCTAAACATAATGCCATACAGCATAATTTACGAATCATTTGTTATCAAAAGCAAAATAGCTATGTAATTAATTAAAAATATCTTTTTAAATTTTTTTATGGTAAGAGTTTTTATTGTCTCAGAATATGCATCAGTTTTCTCTCTGAAATTAATTTTACATTTTTCCCCTCTGATTTTTTTTTCTCACAATATTTCTGGCTTTTTGCAGGTATAGAATTTGTAAGGGTAATTTTTCTTTAGGATTTTAGACATTGCAGCTTGGAAGGTTTAGAAGAATTTGAAGGCAAGATTTATAGACCCATGATTCTAGAAGATTCGAGAAATATCTGACAAAATGTGAAAAGTTTCCATAGTATCAATACCATGGAAACTGTAAAATACATAATGGAGGTATTTTACAGAAAGTTTGCAATGAATTTCTTACTTTTTGGAGAACGTCTGGAAGAACAAGGAAAACATAATATTTGAATGTTTTACTTTTGATACTATAATCTTTTAACATGTTTATCATCCTTTTACTTTCTCTACTTTTCACTAGACTCAAGCTTGGAAAATATCAAAAATGTTTCTAATCTTATCACATGGGCAGGCATTATAGAAAGGAATTTTTTTTTATTAATAAAGAAATTGAAAACTTACAATTTAAAAGATTCATCTAGTATGTCCTAATGCATCATACATATGGCTGGCACTAGGCTTTTTCCCACCTGATGCAATCTCTGTGGATCCTAAATTCTGCTGCCTAGTGTCTTTCTAAATTCTGGTTCCAATGCCTACTCTAAATTCTAAAAGTTTTGCCATTTCTAGATTTTGTTGTTCAGTGTGTCACTAAATTCTAAATGTTCTGAGTAAATTAGTACTAAGAAATAAAATTAGCCGCTTTTTCTATACATTCTAAATGCATTTAGTGTTTTTTAGAATAACAGAAATCCTTAATTAAATCCAAAAATTCTAAAATGAAAAGGAAACCTGTTGAAGAAAGAAACTGAATACATAAAGAAAATTTTTCATCAAAGATATGTGCAGTTATTATTATTATGTGAATTACCGAATTGTTTATGATCTCAGCCTTTACTATAATTTCCCGTTTCTATTCTCTTATATGATAGAGTTACTGAGCCAGATTAAAATTAAATTGTATAGTCTTTGACCACATTTTTAGTTTGACTTAAACTGTTCTTGTTTAATTACGTAACAGTGAGCTGTAATTGATTTTGTTAGCATCAGAACATGCCTTTATGTTCTAAGTTCTTTTTAAATAAGCCTCTTATTTAAACCTCTGTCTGATATTGTAGTTAAATTCAGACATAGCGATAATAATATGCTTCACATCTGTTGAGGGTTTTGGACTATTTAACTTTTACCAGATAAAGTAAACCCTCATAGGTACATTATGGAGAGGTTGACAAGTTAGGAGATAATGCATGCAGAAACTAGTGAGTACATTGGTTTGCATATTAAGACAAATCTCTAATTGTTAGAAAAGATGCTTAAAGAGAAAGGTAATCGATATAAACAAGCCAAAATGTTTGGGAAGGCTTCAAATTAAAATGATGGGTAAATATTTTGTTGAGTGTATTTGTTACAAAACATAAATGTTTTGTAGCTTTTAATGTGTAATAATCCTAATATCGTGTAAGAATCAATGCTATAAATTACATGTATTTTAAACTGTGAAATTTGAATAGATTTTAATTTTAATAGGGCTTTTTTTTTAACAAAATTTGTTAAAAAATAAAATTTAATAATGGTCATGTAAATCCGTAATAACTAAGATTATCAAACTACCTAATTAATTATTTATAACTAACTGCTTACCCTTAAAAATTATCTCTACATGTTAAAGCGATTTTTTGCCTTTCATAAATACCCTATGAGGTCACAAGATAAAATACAAAAATGTAGAAATTCGAGTAAAACTTATTCTTTACATCTAGTGAGACATAAAATAATACAAAATAACTTATCACCTCTGGTGCTTTAATGGCTTTATTGGAACCTTAAAGTATATTAACTGGGTTATAACCACTGGGACTCTACACGGACCTATGACACTAACTGCATGAAACAGAGCCTGATTAACTTTCAACACTTGCGAACTGGGTCTACATCAGGCCTTTCAGGTTTGTTCTAATCAGCTGGTCTCTCTCTAAACAAGCAGCAGCATTGACAACATTCAGTCTTTTGTTATGAATTATGCTGATTATGATCTTCTCATTTTAACCTGTGTCGTTTGACATAAAATCTACCTGTTATTTACTAAACCTCTGACCAAGTATGTGACAATATGAGACATAAAAAAAATTAACATAAAGTTAACTGTTAGTAAAACATGTCACTTCTTTCAAATATATCCAACTATTATAAGTGTAAAATATTTAATGCTACTTGATAAATTGATGATTTATTCTCAAACATATTAATAATTATTTTAATTCATGTTTAGTAATAATGCATACTGCTTAGGGATCTATTTTATTTTTAGGATGGTATTACAATTGTGAAATGCAGGCATAGATAATATTTTTAATTGAATTTATTCAGTTCACATTTGTCTCATAGGTCCTTAATTTTTTTCATTAATGGTCCTTAAAGCACTTAATTTCCGTGTGCAGAAATGTGTACGAACCCTGAACATGTGATATTTGTATACTGTTGTCTGCATCTGCTCTGCAGTGTTTTTAGCCACTCAAATTCAACTTCTCCTTCAAAAATTACTATTTTACATTATGTGCTTAAATTTTGAATATTGTTGCATATATGCTGGTTTAATTTTTAAAAGCCAGCATATATGCAACAATAGCGAAACCTCACTTAAACATACACATTTGAGCATCTGTGGATGTGCATGCTTTCTGTTTAATCAGCATTTCTCTGATCAATTTTTTTTTAAATCTGATGTTTGTAAAAATGTAGATGTCATCCATATAAACTTTTATTTTTCTCATAAAATTTCTATAAAATGTGCCTTTTTATTATTATTTTTTAATAGAATAATATCAATGGTCTGGAAGGATAGACCAAATAAAGAGTTTTACCCGAATTCACAAAGTTGTCAATAACTTAACAACTTCAGAAAGTACAATCCTATCTTTAAGTCAGTTCAGTAAAAATACTTGAACCAAAAAAATTTATGTAAAGTTTGTCCTTGTTTTAACTTACTGTTATTTATAACTTTTTAACATTTTTTCTTTATTTGCAGTTGTCCCATGATATGAATGCCCTGTATCTTTCACAGAATCAAAATCACCCATTATTAACTGGTCGTCAGCCACCTCAGAAACTTCCTAACAATTTATCAGGACCTCCACTATCCCATTCTCCTACTCCACCATTACAGCAGCAGCAATATTGGCAGCAGCCATCTAGAGGGACACCTGGTCCTGGGGGACAACTTGAGAATATTCCTGATTCTTGCCCTCCAAATGCTAATTCAGTATATCAACCAAATCAGCATAGAGGGTCTTCTTACTCTGCACCACTAACAAATACCTCTTTTTCTTCCATGCCCCATGGTGACAGAGCAGTACCACCATCAGATCCTGCTAATCAAATGCATAGTAACAGAATGTCAAATCCAGAAATGTTTCAACCCCCAATCCAGCAACAGCAGTTTACAAGCAATCGACAACAAATGCCTTATACTAATGGCATTACTGGACCTGTTCCACCTGCACCTAGCAGTCAATATGGCCATCCAAATTCAAGCATGCATGCTCGGTATCCTCCAGCTCCATCTCCTGGCCCTGTGCAAGGAAGTGTGCATCCATCTGTTTCAGCATCACAGTATAATGTACAAGGAAGTGTGCATCCTTCTGTTTCAGCATCGCAGTATAATGCACAAGGAAATGTGCATCCTTCTGTTCCAGCATCGCAGTATAATGCTCAAGGAAGTATGCATCCTTCTGTTCCAGCATCACAGTATAACCATCAGGGTAATGCTCTTTCATCTCAGAATCGGTTGGGCGCTCTACCTCCACCTACTACACAAAATCGAAGATTGGATCCTGATAATATGCCTAGTCCTGTAAGTTTTCCTTCCTGCTTAAATGTTTATTGTGTTTCACTCTAGAATAATGCTTTTTAAAGTAACTTGGTAGCTGTATTCATAAATAAGTAACATGCTTTTGTTTTAAGTGTTGCTGTTATATTTTCTCTTCAGCCTTAAAAAATAAAAAGGCATTACTTCGTATTTTATGTAGAATGAAACATAAAAGATTCTCCTGTCACTTATGTTGACTATCTATCAGTGATGTGATTTGCTCAATGGAACAATTTTATTATTCTAAATAGTATTTGTGTAAGACAGTAGATTTTAGTGATGTCACGATTCTTTTACATTTCTGGGAGGAGGACTTTTACATTTCTGGGAGGATAAATTAATTTCTTTTTGTGAAAGGTCGAGCAAATAATAAAAAAAAAAGGTGAATCCCTTCATGGGAGCTGCATAAGATCTTTTCAGAATTCCTTTGATTTGCAAGCAAAATACAGTTCCAAATATATATTTGTCATTCATTGAATTACAAGCTTTATTGTGACAAAAATTTTTGATGAAAGAAATCACATTTGGAAAGTACAGAAGATGAGGAGAATATCCAAGACAAATGTTAATAATTAATTTCTAGTTGCTAATGTGCTAGTGTTATGCTTATAAATAATATCTCATTTGTTCATAAGTGTTGCCCTCCCCCCTTTTTTATAATGATTGCTTTTTTTTTTTTTTTTTTTTTTTTTTTTTTTTTTTAGTTTATCCAGGTGGGAATAGTTTTTTATTGAATTAATTGTTTTATTGTATGGAAGCAGTTCCTAATAAATGATATCTTCCCATTCACACAAACTGATGTTAAAACTTTGGGTAAATACTGGGCCCTGCTTCAATAAAGGTTTGTTATGGCTGTACCAGAAATATTCATTAACCTCTCTCCTTATTGCAAAATTGAAGAACTTCTGTGGAAACAGAGGTGCTACTTTGGTTAGACGGTTGAATGGATTTTGGCTTTTTTTTTTTTTTTTGGCGAGCAATACGACTTATGGTAAACTCATTGCTTGGCAAGTTATTTATGGAAACAATACTTTGTTGTCATTTTATTTTAAAAAATAATGTGATTTGTTATATAAAAATTCCATGTTTTAAATATTATTTATGGCTTTTAAATATTAAAAATCAATTTAATTTTACATTTTTATTTGAAATAAAAATTTCATTGTTAATGACATTTTCTATAATTTATGTTGTGGATGATGTAATCAATGACATCACCTTGCTTTAAAAGTAATTGGTTTTAATATCTATAAATTTAATCTAATGTTTTAAACATTATTTATGGCTGTTAAATATTAAAATACAATTTAATTTTGCGTTATTTTAATGATTTTATTATGTATGATTATTTAAATAATTCTAGGCGTGATGTAATCAATTCCCTGATTGGTTACAGAATATTTGTGCATTAACGAGCTGTAATCAGCTCCCTGATTGGTTATAGAATATTTGTGCATTAACGAGCTGTAATCAGCTCCCTGATTGGTTACTGAATATTTGTGCATTACCACGCCATTTTAAAATTTTATTCATCTCTTCAAATTCATTAGATTTCATAGGCAACGGATATGTCCCTTTCAAAGATTAGTGTAGTTATTGGTTAGTACCAAGAATTATTGGTATTATCAGGTTCTATGTTCCGCCTTACTTGCTTGGGGAACATTCCAGAACCTGACTCGGAACAGGGTGCTTACTAAAGCTACGTTCAATAAATGTGGGAATTAGACAAGATACACAGGAAGGGTATACGAAACGCTTTATTTTTCACTCTTTACAATAATTTCCGAACTTCGGAATACAGAGACCAACTACTTGTGGTCTGAACGTAAGAATATAAAAATATTAACTAACTCAACTTAAATTTGGAATAATAAAACAAGGGCCTACGTAGAAGATGGCCGTATAGTAACAGGAAGCCGTATGTAGTACAGAGAACTCTTAACACTACAATACGTTTAAAATTATCAAAGGATTAAACCTCTGGCCTGGAAGGCAACCAGCAACCGAGTTAAAACTGCTAAGGCAAGCGGCCTGCTTCGACTAACTCCTTCCTCTCTCTCGCTTGGCAAAAACCACAACTTAAGAAGTACTTGGCGTTCGCCAGACAAATTTGCATAAATAAGTTAAAGCTTTTAATTCTGGGCGGAAGTAGAAAATAGAAGTGATAGTAAAGATTTAAAATAAAATAAACGTTAGTAAAACTTAAGATCCTTACAGTATCAGAATAAAAAAAATTGTCCTTTGAGACCTTATTTTGACCAACCTGGCTTTCCAAATCAAAGATTTATTTATAAATTGTTACAATGCTCAGAGGAAATTCATTTAAAATTTTTGGAGGAAATCTGGTTAATTGCTTCTTCAATGAAGTGCGAGAAATGTGGATAACAGATGAAGATCGTTAGAAGAGCCAATTCTGAGAACGGCCGTATATGGTATTGTGGTCATGGTGGAAGAAATAACCGCTGTAATGGTAAAAAAAAAAGTATTAGACATTCCTCCTTTTTTACCGCCAATAACGTAATTGCTGTCATTTTAGCTCTAGTGTACGAAGCATTCTTATTTACTTATTTTAAAGTATTTGAATTTAAGTAATGTTTTCATTCTTTTAAACGTTGGTATGATGGTTTTTAATTCGATATCCAATTTATGTAATATTTTAATCCAATTAAATGTTGGCACAATGTTTTTATTCTATTTCAGGGCTATATGAAAGTAATAATTTAACCTTACTTTAGTATTTTATACTCGTAGTAAATTATTTATTTACATTTGCCTGTCATCCTAAAAAACAACGTTTTCAACAAAAATTTAATCCATTATTTTTAACGATATTTATTTTTTTTTAAAGTTTCGAATACTTTCCTATGCACAAAATAACGTAAAAACAGCGGTTTTCAAGATGGCTAACGATTGTAAAAACTGCGCCAAAGTAAATCACCGAAAATCTGTGCAACCGTCTACCAAAGTAACACCGAAATTAAAAAGTTTAACTGAAACATAATTTTATGAAGTAATAGGAAATAATTTATATCGATATAGTCTTTAGTTCAAGAAGTTTTATTTGTTCTAAATTTGGGGAATGGCAACAGGGAATTTGTTTACAGACAAAATGGTGTCTGTCATGCATTGAAAAGCAATGTGCGTTTTTTCTGGTTATCGGAAACAAAATCTCCAAAAACAGTTTAATTTCACAAATGAATTTAAATCTTCACCAATGGAATAGTCAATTAAAAGATGGTAAAAACAGTTTTGAGAACTGGACATGTTTTGCGTAAAGGAAGTGCAGGTAGTCTAAGTGTCAGTGATGAAAATGTTTCTGCCATTCGAGATGTGTTTGTGTGCAGTCTGAGTAGATCCATTTGCTGTGCTGGTCTGTAAACAGAAATTCCCAGGTCAACAGTTCATGAAAGCTGAAATTGTGTGCATATAAATGGCAGATTTGTCAACAAATCAAACCTAATGATCGAGTTGTTTTAAGTAAGGAATTTTCTGTAAGCATTCTTGGTTGTGTCAGTAATTATGATCAGTTTCGTCAGAAAATTGTATTTGGTAATGAAGCAGCATTTCATGTTTGAGAAGAGGTTAACTGACTGTAGAATTTAGGTGTTGGTACACTCGCATTTTGTAAGGGAAATCGAGCAAGGTAATCCTTTAATTAACATTTGATGTATACTAACTCATAACAGCGCAATTGGATCCATCTTTTCTTCACAGTCGTTAATTAATATGGACGATTACTTTGGTGTGCTGAGATTGTTTTTGGTACAGCAGTTGGAAGAAAGGCAGCCAAATGTGTTTTTTTCAACTGGATGGGGCCCACTATCATTGGGCTACACATGTGTACATGTTCTGGATGAAACGTTCCCACATCATAGGATCAGTTGAGTTGGGTAAATTCATGGCCAAAATCATGAATGTCACACCACTCGATTAAATTTTTGGGTGGACATGAAGAGCTTATGCTGCAGAGATTCCCAGTATCGAAGAATTGAAAAATTGAATCACTTGACAGCTACTGTGATTCCGCAAATGCTAAATAACCTTGGGAGGAAAATTGAGAGCATACCGTATATTCTCCGAGCAACTAATGGTGCTCATGGTGAAATATATTACTATAAAATTCTTTGAAGTGTTAAATAAAATCCAATCAATCTTTTTTCCCTATCTCTGATTCTGTAATATTTAAACCATATCTTTATCTGGTTAATAATACGCTGTATTTCAAAGTGATTGTTGTAGCCCAGCTTTATGAAATGATTGTATACCATTGTTTGAGGAATGCTGACGTTGTGAATATTTATTACATTGTTCTCATAAGTAGTGCAGTATCATTAGCATTGTGGATTTAAAAAAAAATTGCTCTATTTATAGCACACAAAATGGTATGTTTAACTCTTCAGTACTAACTAAATATATGCTATGATAGATACATGTGAAATGAAAATGAAGACAACAGTTTTTGAGAAATAAAGTTGCAAGTTTATGTAAATGCACCAAATCAAATATTTGGCTGTAGGTTGCAAAAGAAACTTTATTCTTGAAGATCTGTTTAACTGCATATAAATTAATGGTTTAATCCAAGTTCTTGTTAAAATACTTAAAAGTTTACAGTTTTGATAACTACACTGAAGTTTTAGAATGTGAAAATGTAATTAATTTCTTTATGTATGAAATTTTCATGTAATATAATGACCAGTTATACAAACACGTCGAAAGGGTACTACAGGAAGTACCATTTAATTCTGATGTTCACCCTGTGCTAGAAAATCATTTTGCTATTTTCTTTTTTCTTTAATTATGAATTGAAACTGGTATTTGTGTGTTACCACAACTATCTTAGCAAAAGTCATCAAATTTTCAGAATGTGCCAGGGTTCGTAGCGGTCCTTATAAGTGCTTATAAGTCCTTATATTTGAAAATGAAATATAAAGGCCCTTATAGGTGATTACTTTTTCTTTAAAGCCCTTATTTTTTTGTTTTTAGTG